ATGAAATATCACTTCACAATATTATGGTTAAAATAAAGTAATACAACAAGTATTGGCATGAATGTGGAAAAATAGAACCTTTCATATAGTACCAGCAGGAGTATATTGTAAATGGTAAAACAGTTCTGTTTAAGCAATGAATAATGCAATTTTGATGCAATTTCACTCCTAGGCATTTTACCAGAGCGAAAGGAAACACAAATCCTCATGAAATCAGTTTTGCCTTTTTCATAATAGCCAAGTTGGAATGAACACAAATTTCTATTAGCTCACAGATATACCCATATGTGTGCATACTGCCATTATATGGAATATTATTCAGTCATGAAAGTATGATGTACACTACACAATAGACTAACCTTGAAGGCATCATGCTAATTAAGTGAATGCTATCATAAAGTGGCATGCATTATATGTTTCCCTTCATATATATAAAGCAGGAAAATCTACAGAGATTGAAGGTAGATTAGTTGTTTCTTAAGTAAAGGCAGGTTCGGTGTAGACAGATTGGTAGTAATTATGGAGTTACTCTTTGAACTGATAAAAATGCCCTAATTTTAGCTGTGTTGACAGTTGCATATATCTGTGAAAATATTAAAAACCACTGAATATTATTACTGGGTGAATTATATCTAAAAGCATTCAAAAAGGACACAGCCATTGAGAATCTAATCAGTTTCCCAGGCAAACAACAAATATCAAAATTTATTTCTAGGTGGATTATGTGACTAGATGGATTATATGACTATTAATTAGGGCTTGTGGAACCTTACACATAATGCAGTTAGACTTTATTTCATGTGCCTTTTCATTTTGCTTATGTTTCCCTGTATTAAATCATAGGCTTGAGTATTACTGTGTATTGCAGCCAGTGAATCTTCCTGAAAATCATTTTTCTGGATATTATCTTGGAATTGTTCTATACTTCCGATTCTGAATTTATTTTTCTAAATATTGACAAATATTATGACTAATTTCTTAGGCAATTTCTACTTAATATACTCACCTCTGTCGTCTGAATGTTGTACAGACTGTTCTTCAGTTTTCTTTCCCAGGCCAAGCTGAGGAGACAGGGAAACAGGCCTCCAGAATCCTAGAATCATATTAAATAGACTCAATTATTTTCTAATTACTAACAAAATAATATTGTGCAAAAGAATATGTACATGATTTTACAATGGAAAACATGTTTGACGCTAAAACTTCCTGTTTCTAATATATTCATTTTTAGTGGTTCTCCTATTCCAAACTTTTATGAAGTTTACTAAAGCAATATTAAAAAATAAGTTTAAAATATTATGGCATCTGTTAATAGTATCTTTGCATAATGTAATAAATATATGCTCAATTATGTCTCTAAAAAGTCATAGCAAGATTTTTTGTCATTTTGAAACAGGGTCGCCCTGTAGCCACAGCTAGCCTGGAACTTGCTATGTAGACCAGGTTGGCCTCCATCTCACAGAGATCGACCTGTCTCTGCCTTATAAGTGCTGAGATAAAAGGCGTGCACCACTATGCCTGGATAAAAATTCATAGCAAGTTCTTACTACTAAAGTATAATATTTGTTAACAGATATCTATTAAGTATGCATGGTCACAGGTGAAAAATGGCTCAGTTATGGGAATTAGAGATACAGCCAGGTCCTTTCCTTCTACCTCTTTACTGTTCTCATAGAGAAGGGCCAGATGTGGTGAAGGCTGCTGTGTGCGGGCCCAGCCTACTGCGGGTGGTGCCACCTGTGGGCAGGTGGTTCTGTATTGCATAAGAAAGCAGTATGAGCATGGACCAGGAGAGGAAGCCAGTTAGCAACGTTCCTCCATGGCCTATGCTTCAGCTCCTGTCTCCAAGTTCCTGCCCTGAGTGCCTACCTTGGGCTGCCTGATGTATTATGACTCAGTATATGTAAGCTAAATAAACCCTTTCCTCCCCAAGTTGGTATTGGTCAGAGTGTTTTGCCACAGCAATGGAAAAACAAACTAGAACAGCTACCATTAAGAATTGGAGAGATAGCTCAGCAGTTAAGAACACTGGTTGGTCTTGCAGAAGACCCGAGTTTGAACCGCAGCACCCACATGGCAGCTAACAACTGTCCGTAACTCTAGTCCCAGGGGATCCGACAGCCTCTTCTGACCTCTGCGGGCATTGCATGACACAGGTGCACTTACCTACATGCAGGCAATACATGCATACATATAAAATAAAATGATGAATAAAATTTAAAAAAAGAATTGTTCTCATGTATGGTTCACATTAATTATGATACACAAGTTTGATAACTCCCAACCACTTGCAAATATTAAAATGCAGGTAAATTAAGAGTATAAAAAATTGATGCGTTTCAGATCAAATAATATTTCATCAGTTATAAACTTCATAAAATCAGTGATATATTTGAGAAAACATTAGACTAGAGGTTACTATGCTCTAGCTTGTTCACTAATGATCTATGCCACTATTGATCTATGCCACTAATGATCTATGCCCCCCCCAATACATACTGTTATCATTGCTGTTTCTTTTTAAGTTTTATTCTTTATTTTAATTTTATGTGTATGAGTGTATTGCCTGCATATATGAAAGTGCACCCATGTTGTGCAATGCCTGTGGAGGTTAGAAGAGGACATCCGATACCCTGGAACTGGAGTTAGGATGGTGGTTAGCCACTATGTGGGTGCTGGAATTCAAACCCTGGTCCTCTGCAAAAGCAGCCAGTGCTCTCAACCACTGAGCCATTTCTCCAGCTCCACTGCTGTTTCTTTTGTGTGTCTGCATGTGTGTTTGTGGGTGTGTGTGTGTGTGTGTGTGTGTGTGTGTGTGTGTACTACAGTGTGCAGGACTCATGACATTCCATGTGTGTATGTGGAGTCTAGAGATAAACATCAGGACATAAGCTGTCCTTCCTCAGGATTTTTCCAACTTTGTAAAAAAATTAATGCATTTTTTTGACTTTCATACAATATATTTTGTTTTTTGAAACTAGGTCTTTCACTGAAACCTGGGAAGCTCTAATTACTCTAGGCTTGCTGACTGGAACCCCAAGAATCTGCCTGTCTCTACACCAGTAGCACTAGGATTCAAAGCATATGCCATCATATCCAGTTTTCAGTGCTGCATCTACCAGAAAATCCTGAGGATAAGAAATGTTGAGATACAGACTCTGTTGCACAGAGAAGGTCGCACCTGGCTAAGTTTTTGAGAATATGAGGCTTCAGAGTGCGTGTTCCTGGATAGGACTCCTATATTAAACCTCACCCACCCCCCCGGCTCAGGGACCATTGTGGAAGAGGGGCAGAAAAATTTTAAGAGCCAAGGTTGGTGCATGAACATAAGGAAACAGAGGCTTTCAAGTCACTGGATACTTATTCATATGAACTTGCAGCAATGCTGACATCATGCACAAGACCCATGCCAACTCAATCAGACAAAAATCCAGCATAGAACAGGGGAAATGGGTAGCAGGCTCCAATCCTAGTCAAGGAACTATTGGCAAATGATTGCCGTGGGGTGAGGGAGAGTTGATCTTTTTTAAGGGAGTGACTCTAGATAGGTTGACTAGATGCCAGTGAATGAACTTCTACCAAGGTAACCCTTGGTAGAAATGCTTGACCGGGTAGGACTTAACATAATACCTGAAATCTAGTGGGGTGGCTATGGAGGTAGGGAGGGGGGAGAGGGTCTAAATTTGATTAAGATTTATTATATGGAATGTGTACAACCCAATAAAAATATTAAAAATGAAAAATGCACAACCTCTTACTATTGGGAAGACTTAATATATTTGTATAGGTAAAATCTATGAGTTGTGAGTTAGTATTAATAAATTAGTGCTACTAAATCAGCAGTAATTATTACATATAAAATGTTTAGAACTATTTATGCCAGTATCCTATAAAGCATATACATTAGTTCTAGAGTGGTATAACAATAATTAATGAGGATTACAAAGAGCAATGCAATTGACGTGTTGTATATGCTTGAAACAGCATTCAATAGATTTTAGCTATTTTTTTTATAGAATGGGTGCTGGAAGGTTGAAAGCTGCTATTTAAGCAAATTTTTTCATGTATTTATTATGCTATATACTGAGTACACATTAGAAATTCTATCAACGAAATTTTATAGAAAACTCACTAACAATGCAATTGAATCTTAAGAGTCTCTCTAGCCCTGAAGAAGCTATTCCATTTCATTGAATATTTATCAGATAGTGTTGGGAATATTAAAAACTGAAGCAATATGGAAACTTAAATCTTTATATCTCGTATATTGATTAATGCAATTCTTAAGGGATTGCTCATATTACCTCATTAGAAGAGATATTAGAAAAGAATGTACACAGTGTTACTAAATTCAAATCTATCAAAACGTTGTTTTATGATTTTTCTCTACTGCACAAAACAGATATTTATCACTATTCCACCAAAATTTGCTTTAAAAAAAGAAAATTTCAGAAATTAATTTCTCACATAACTTAATTCATTTCAGTCGGAAAGCATTTTTTTATTTTGGTCTTTTTGAGACAGGGTCTCCCTGTAGCCCGAGCTGTCCTGGAACTCACTATGTAGACCAGGCTGGCCTTGAACTCATAGAGATCCGCCTGCCTCTGCCTCCCAAGTGCTGGGACTACAGGCGTGCCCCACCACGCCCAGTAGAAAAGCATTTTTAACTAGAGGGCAAGAGAGGGTTTTCTCAGAGGGAAAAAGTCCAAAATAAACAAACAACCAAAAAAAAGTAGGTTGAAATTTTCCTTTTACTATTCAAGTAATATCTCACAGATATTGAAATAATGGCTTATGGATAAATGTCCTTATCTAACAACCAGTACAACCTGGAAACAAAAATTTGTAAGTGTCCTCAAATATTCAGTTAACATTGTTTTTACTGGAATCCATAGGCTATCATATTTAAAATATACATGCTAATGGAAAAGTCAGTGTTATTCAGGACAAATTTTAAGGATCATTATGTGCAATAGAATGTTAAAAGAGGAAATACTGATGTACATTAAATTTATGCTATTTTGAATACTCTGCTGTTCAAAAGAGTCACAAGAGTTTATTGAAGCATGGATGGTTTCCTATCATATTTAAGATCAAGTTCTTTGTTTTCTTTAGTTCTTTGTGCTAAAAAAGCTCTGTGAAAATGACTAATATGAAATAAAACTGCCTATGGGATGGTAATAGTTCCTTTATCACAATTAAGCAAACCTTAATTAAATTGTCTAGGGAATGGATAATTATAATTATTTTGTGCGATAAAATATACACGATTAACAAGATAAATGCTAACTATTCACTGAAAACTTAAGGAATGTTTTCATGAAAGAAAAAAGGTAATTGGAATTCTTATGTACTTAGGCTTCTATACCTTTTTCTTTCCACAATAACTAAGTAGAAAAAAATATTAAGAGCAATCTCCATCTACCTATTTCAGAGTGATGGGAGTTAAATTCGACATGGTGATCCTAAGCCAGAATAGACACTGTTTTGCTAAGGATTTTTAAATCTTCCTCTTTTGAAATCAAAGAAAGATGATTTTACTAGTTTTTAATTACTTAGTTAAATAATTAATTATTTTAAGTCTTGCCTTAAGTGTACCATGTGTGTACAATGCTCACAGAGGCCAAAAGATGGCATTGGATTCTCTTGAACTGGAATTACAGACTGTTGTTAGCTGAGTCCTGAACTTGGGTCCTCCCTCTGCAACAGTAGCCAGTGCTCTTTAATTCTGAGTCATATCTCCAGCCTGTATTTTACTAATTTTTAAAAGTTAAACAAAAATCTGTCTTTAAGCCACCCTCTGATTGGATTAAAAGCCACTGTATGAGATAGGCACCATATCAAGCACTGCTATTGCATGGAGAACCTATGGCTAGCTAGGTCAAGGACTCTAGCTCAGAACCTGTTACTAATATTCTTTTTTTCTGATTAAAAAATTATTTTTTTAATTTTATGTGTATGCATGTATTGCCTGCATGTGCACCTGTGTCGTGCAATGCCCGCAGAGGTCAGAAGAGGCTGTCAGATCCCCTGGGACTGGAGTTATGGACAGTTGTTATCTGCCATGTGAGTGCTGGGATTCGAACCCGGGTCTTCTGCAAGAACAACCAGTGTTCTTAACTGCTGAGCCATCTCTCCAGCCCATGCTACTAATATTCTATTAAATGGATATAGTACTGAAATGATTTCAAATGACTTTTTTTTCTTTTTTCTTTTCTTTTTGAGACAGGGCCTGTCTATAGTCCTGGCTGGTCCGGTTCTCACTATGTAGACCAAGTTGGCCTTAATCTCAGAGAGATCAGCCTGCCTCTACCATCCCAGTGCTGGGATTAAAGGTGTGTGTCACCAAACCCAGCTCCTAATGACTTATTGCTATACTCATAGATTAGTGCATCTCTCAACTCTCATCAGAGTTTTTTGCAGTAAAAGGCAGTTATCATAAAGACCCACAAATAGCCAACATGATGAGAGTAAGAGACTGTAGAGTGCTCAGTTTTAAATGGGACTTCTATCTCAAACCCCTGGGATCACTGCAGAAGAAGGAATGGAAAGATTTTAGGAGCCAGAGTTGGTGGATGACTATAAGGAAACAGTGTTTTTCAGACAGCAAGGCGGGTTCATTTATGAACTCACAACAGCGACAACAACAGCATGCACAAGGCCTATTCAAGCTCAAGGCAGCCAAAATCTCAGCATTGAGGGAGGAGTAGGCACAAAGTCCTTCCCCTAAACAAGGAGCTATTTGCATATGTTAGGTGCTGAGAGAGGAAGACTCAGTTTTCTTTAAGGATAGACTCCCTCTGTTAGGGTGACTATGTTCCAGGACTGGCACCATTCTCAAGATTATTTGTGCAAGACAAACTGGACTCAATAGGGGGGGAAAACACAAATGGGGGTAGGTAGGAAGGTTGAGGAGGGTCTAGGAGGAGTTGAGAGAGAGGGAAATATTATCAAAATACATTGTACGAAACTTTCCAAGAACAAATAAAGAAATTGAAAGGAAAAATAAAAGATGTCTAGCGTCTGAATTTCTTATGGTTTTCTTAAATGGTTTCAGCCTCATATCTGTCAAAGCTACTAACATTTTGGAAATAGTAATTAAATTTGTAAAAGCAATATGCTTTCAACTACCACATACATTTAAGCTTACCTGGAGGACGATTATCCTTTCTGCGAGCACCAAGCCGCTGTGCTTCGTTTTCTGAATCATGGCGGTATCTTTCACTGTCAAGCTCAATTTGCTGTCCCTTTTCTTTGTCGGATTCCATGAGACTTCCTTTACTTTCTTCGTCCATTTGAAAGTCCTCATTTTCTAATCTGCTCTCTATCTTTATGAGGTCTCCTGTGCTTTCAGGCTCATTTTGATCTCTTTCACTTCCAGAGTGTGTCTGATGTGTCTCAGAACTGGAGTCTGCTTGACTTTCATCCCTTTCGAAGCTACTCTGAAAAGTTAGATGATCATTCTGATATATTCCAGAGCTATCTTGAGGTTTTAAAGAATTAAGCTGGTATTTTTCAGAGCTAGCCTGTTGTCTACCATGGTCAAATTCTAATAGTTTTCTTTTAGAACCTAACCAGAGTATACGACCTTCCTGGAGTCTTTCCAAGTTACAGGTATTTTGGCTCATTCCAGCCTTCTTCAAGTGTGTCACAGAATCAGAGGCTATCCCTGGGCTTTCAGAGTCTGAGTTCACTGTTTTTTTTTCTGACTGGGAATTCTCAGGGAGCTTGTCAGGGCTAGTACGCAGCTGAAATGTTTTTACATCCTCGAGACACTTCACAGCTACTGAGGCTAATTCATGTTTTTCAGAACCTGAGTCCAAATATAGATCAGAGTCAGAGTCAAGCATATATCTCTTGGATCTAGGCTTCTCTGCTTTTTCATCCAATAGCAGATGCACCTTAGATGTTGATGCTGCAACAACTCTACCTCTTTCTTTGTCTGATTCCATTATGGAACTCTCAGCATCAGGAATTATCCAGAAATTTTCATTCTCCATCACTTTTTCTTCAGATTCCATCAAACATTTTATAGAATCTGAAGCCATTTGGCATTTTTCTTCCTTCTTCCTTTCACTGTCAGAGTCCAAGAATTTTTCAGAGTCAGAATCTTCCAAGTACTTTTCTGAGCCTGAGTGTATCGAAGGTTTCAAAGAGTCAGATTCCACCTGGCACTGTTCAGTTTTCATCAGGTGTTGTCTTGGCTTAGTCAGGCCTTCATCAGAGCCAAAATCCACCTGACACTTTCCTGTTTTGAATAGGTGTTTTGAAAACTCTGATTCTGAGGGAGACTTTGTATCCTCTGAGTCCACCTCGCATAGTTCTGAGCTAGAACTTTTGGAGTGTCGTTCAAAATCATCATCTGAAACAAATCCTATATCAGATTCAGAACCAATCATACTTCTTTCAGAACCAAAGTCTGTAAGAGGAATATCACTTTCAATTATTGTTAGGTCCTGGAGAGTTTTATAGTGAAAACAACCACCTAAAATTTCAGATGCTTCTGTATCAGGAACTTCTGTTTCAGATCTGTTTCCTTTATCACATTCTTGTGTATCTGCTCCTTCATCACTTGAAGAAAAGATAAACATGAATACTTATTTAAATATGTATCAAGTGTTACTAAGCACATTATTTCCATATTGAGACCATTCTACAAGAAAATACTATAAAGCACATATTTCTGTCTGTGAGAACATAAAAAGCGAAAGACAACACTGACTTACTGTAAATACTGAAGGAACAGTAGTGTGTTCATTTTACACTCATATGCATCTCCATCCATATGAACATTTTCTAACGTACCTAAAGGTATTTATTTGCCTGAGTACGATACTTCCTTGTCATATATGACTTTCTTGTCCTTATCTAGTCAACACATCAGTACTTTGGGGATCAAGTAAAATGTTGAAATTGTAGTGAAAAATAAAAACTAGGCTATTTCTACAGACTAGTCTAAATGAAGATTGTATTTATGTAGACCTGATTATCAGTGAAGATTACCTTGGAGTGTCGACTCTTGGTAGAGAAGAACTCTCAGATACTCTTTGATTTGGACAGGGCATATATTGTATGACAGGTTCATATGATAAAATAGTTGTAGATATTGGCTGAAAAACAAATAATTAAGTTGTAACTTATAACTTCATAGTTTTACAGAAGCATAGTATAATAAAGTATTTAGTCTGGAGAGAGTATCAACTTCATCACTTACACTTGTGCTTAACAGACAGGCATTGTGAGAACTTCCAGAATAAAACTTGAGAATTAAATATAAGGGTACATGTGGTAGACACATTCTACGATGTTTTCACAGCCTCTACATCCCTATAAACTAATATCCACTCCCAATCAGTCCTATATAACTCAGTCCGTTGACAGTAGATAACTGGCATTTGATCCAAATTGGAGCAACCATGATTCCCTGTTACAGGTTTAGAGAGTTAGAAATAAGAAAAACTTCTTTTCCCTGTTGATTGTATGAAGTCAGGGTAGGCAATCTCACTCTCTATGGCAAAGACAATTCTGTCATATGCTCTAAAGAAACTAAATGGAAATGAATAAGAAAACAGCCCCTATATTTTACAGCATAATTAATGATGAAAAATGATATGTTGTCTTTGAGTAGAAGTCATATAAGAATGTCCCTCCTCACTATTCCTATTCAGTGGTATTCCAAAATGACTAAGTAATTAAATGAGAGAGAAAATAGTAGATTTACAGACTGGACTAAATAAATCTATACTGGTTTACAGATGGGATTAATGTTTATGTAGCCAGCTCCAAGGAACCTACTGCAATGAAAATAATCAGTCCTTAAACGGAGAAAAACAATCATATTAAACATAATATAGGAAAATAACTGCTTTCTTATATATGAACAATTGAAATTTCAAATGTAAAACATTCTTTACATTACTAGCAAAAATTATTTAGGTTACAAATGTTAAAAACATGTATAAGATATAAATGAGGAAAACGTTAAGACTTGAAATCAATGGAGAGATATCAGAATGTACATTAATGAGAACATTCAATATTGTCAAGATGTCAGTAATTACTCAACTGATGTACAGATTTGAGTCTACGTCTGTCAAAGTGCCAGTGAATTATTTTCTGGATATTCACAAACTGATTTTAAAGCTTGTATACAGAGAAAAAATTCAAAATAGTTGATATTATTTAAGAGAGGGACAGATCTGAGAAACATCAAGAATCATCATAAATCTATAATAATGAAGAAAGTCAGTATAGATGAAAGAATAGACTATAATATCAGTGAAACAGGACAGACTACTTAAAACATATCTACACAAAACCAGTAAACTTTTCTCTGATAAAATACCAAAGACAACTCACTGGATAAAGAATAAGCTTCTCAAATGTGGGAACCACAGGACATTCACATGAAATAACAATGAAGCTGGAAGCAGACAGATATTACACAAAAATTAACTCAATTGTGTTTTCTATTTACATTTTAGGTTAGAAATACTCAGACAATTGGAAGAGAGGGAAAAATGGAGGTGGCTTTTGAGTTTTGTTGGGAATACTTAGTTACAACATCAAAAAGCACAATCTGTGAATGAAATTATTAGATACCTGAGATTTCATTAAAATTAAAAATTTCTACTCTATGATAAATACTAAGAAGATAAAAAGGCAGGACATAAGTTGGGGAAATTTTTTTTGTAAAACTCAAATATGAATAAAATGAGAGTAAATGATAAAAGATACTGTATCTCATCATTTTATAAAAGGACATATATAAGATGATAAATAATCAAATGAAAGCATGTCTAAACTTATGTCATTCAGGAACTACAAATTAATAACAGAATACCACTACAAAGTTATTAGAATAACTAAAAATCCAGTGCACTGACACCACCAAATATTTCTAAAAATAAGGAGCAATACAAACTTTAAATCACTGTTGTTGAGAATTCAAAATAAGTAAAGCAACCTGGGCAGTTTCTTAGAAAATTAAATGTATTTATATCATACTAACCTACAATCATGCTACGTTGAACTTATCTAATTAAGCCTTAGAATTTATGTTTACATATAAACATACACATAACTGTTTATAATAGTTAATCATAATTGCCAAATCCTGATATCTTCAATTTATATTTAGGAAGTGCCACAGAAGTGGTTTACAGCTTGGCATATGTTCTTTATTACTATCACAAACTGATATTAAAAATCAACTTCCTTAGAGTGTAGGATAATTCTGCATCAGACTTTTTATATATAAGTAATGGAGTAAGACTGGATTCCAAGATATTCTTAGTATGTTACACAAAGCTAGCATTTTCTATGTATATCTCGATTTAAAATGTAGACTTCAGTGACTAAATGTCAAGTTAAGCCTATTAAACCACTGCCAAAATTTATTTCTGTGATTTGTAGTGATGTGCAAAAGAACAATTAATTTTACTAAGTTCAATACAGCCACACTAAGTGTTTATTAAACATAATGTGTCCTGGTAGAGTGATGATGTGGATGCCAATTGTTGCTAATGAGAAGCATGATTAGCTAGGAAATCAAAAAGACTAAGATTAAAATTCCTCTTCTATTTTGCCTGCTAAATTATTTTTAGTAAACTTGCTTCAAACTTAACATAGTGTCTTACTCAATGATTAGAAACAAAAAGGAAGGAATAATGATATCGTAATTACTATCAGTGATTTAAATGGCACTGTTAATTTTTTCTCGGAAATAGACAGTTCCAAAACAACTTCACCGTCTTAATTGAACACCTACTATGGCTGAACAGACTATCATTAACTCATAGTGAGAAATGTTCATTACAAAGTTCAAAAACATAGATATAATAATAAAAATTGAAGATAAAGACGTTAGGATGTCTTTTGAGATTATCTACTTCAAAAATATCTTTAAGTTTCCACAATGACAATAACTTAAATTTTAAATATTTCATATTCCTCAAGCAACGATTTGAAACACAAAACACAATTACACTAAATGGCTGTAAATGCCACATATCTGGTTGGGGTTATAACTAACTCAGTGACAGAACAGCACACTTTTAGCGTCCGAAAATGTGCAAGGACTTGAGTTTGATCCGTAGCAACACCAAAATTGATAAAGAAATCTTTGGCATAGATTGATCATTCCTCATTTGAAATTTTGGAGATGAGAAATGTTTTGGATGTTGGCACAAAACTAATTTAAAATAATATTTGCTCATATGTGTTTAGAATATGACCTGCCACATCATATAAAGTGAATGATTTTCCACCACTATTTTAGCACTCAAGAACTTTAATATTTTGTATTTTCAAATTTCAGGTTACTATTTCCTAATGTTTAAATGTTCTTTTTTTCTCAGGTAATATTTAGTATGCAATTTTCATGAAATATCTCGAAGTAATACAATTGAGAAGTCATACATTATAAATATAAAATACAAAATTCCAACCTGTAATTGTTCTTGGCATGGAGATAATAAGTTTACTGTTGAAATATCATACACAGACATTCTATAGACTTAAAAATAAAATAAAATATTTAGGAACAGGGTCACATTGAGAAAGAGTAGCAACTATGTTTCTTGAATACAAAATTTGCAAGAAAAAATACTAATCTTATTTGCCGGGTTTATTACATTTTTATCTAAAAACTGAAAAGGTATAGTCTTTTGAATCAATTTTATTAGCATATATTGAGGAATAAAATTTTTATCCCATAGAGAAAAATAATCAATTATGGCCTTAAATATAATTACATAAGAAAAGTATTAATAAGTAAATTATGTTTAATAACTATTGCCTACAAATATGTTACAATTAACAACTGCAAATTGCTATTGAGGTTTGAAAGAGCTTTGACTCCAATAATATAACCACCATGTTTTAGTTCATACAAAATATTCTAGAAGTTTAGGGTAAGGTAGTTTTTAAAAATCACAGCCTACATCTACTCGAGAAAACAAACAAAACAGATACAATGTTCATACAAACAAATGAAAGTATCCTTTATCTGGTGGATGAG